GACTGTTGTTTGGTATTCCTGTAACGTCTGTACAGTGAGATTTGTTGCAAGAATGCCATATGTCAAAATGGTGTTGATGCATGTCCGCCATAGGTATAGTCGCTGAGGCAACTTGAGCTGACGATGTCGCAACCAGCATTTCAGCATTTCAGTCTGGCAAATGCAAGCCAACCTGCATGTTTCCTGTGGTGCCATGTTTGTAGCTCAAAGGCATGAAAGGACATCATCGTACCTAGGTAGCGGCCAGAAGTTTTCACGGGCAACTCAGTTTTGGTGCCATCTTTTCGAGGCAAGGCCACACAGGTCAGCACCACCGGGCACATTCTCCAATGTAGAAGAGCCCAACCGTGCAGTGGCAGTAGATCAAAATGGACCAGGTATGAATTCGGCTCCAACGGTAGAGAGTCTTGATCATGACCATGCTTATGATACTTATGATCACCGACCACGTAGATCACGTAGTTCTCGAAGATCCAGGTCAAGAAGAACCAGATTCACCAGACGTTAGACGGAGCCAATCTATGAGATCACATCGATCTAGAAGATATAGAAGGTCTCCGCAGAGGTTATATAGTCCAGCGCGATCTCGTGCACAAGGTGTTTGGGCCAATCAGGATCTACTTGAAGCTCCACCAGGGGAATTGGCAGTTAGCACCACTGCCACCACCTCGGTTTCCACCACCACCATCGGTGCCGGGGAAAAGATCCCGACCTTTTACAGCTTTTCCTCAACCAGTGTCACGGGCATCATTAGATGCGCCGATGGATGATCATGTTTACTCGCTGTACGACAAATTGTACAGACAACAGAATCGTGATTTTCCCACTTCGGAAGCCTTTTTGAAGCATGTGGCGTTTTTGCTGGCAAAGGCTGATATCATGGTTACTGATTGGAATGAGTTGAGAACTGTTTCACATGATCCCAATTGCTACCGTTCTTCAACAGAATCACAGGAGGCAATTCAACAATTTTATGTTTTGGTTCTTCCAGTGCTCAGAACCAGAGCTGGTGTTTCTCCAGATATGCCACCAGAGCCTCGAAGGGCAGCACCTGACAGAAACATTTCAGAAGTGATTCACTTACCTTTTACTCACGCTACGAATCAAGGCAACTTTGTAGCCATCATGCGTGAAGGCCGTTTGGCAGCTAGCAAGTTGCATCATTCAGACAGTGAATCATTTTTTGCTCAGGGATTTAAATTGGGCCAAACAACCTGGGATGATCAAGAACTCGGAAGGATTCTTCATAATGGTACGACCCTTAGTAAGAATGAATGTGGCGTAGTTTTCCTAGGCTTAGCCTGGGGAACAGGCGAAGTGGTGCACCAAGGAGGGGAGGGCCAGTGCATCGCTATGACAAAGCCAGGTAAACATGGTTGCATCCACCACAAGCGTGGACGCATGTGGATGATTTCCACACAATCCCACGTGCTACAAGGCCTGGCATGGAACTCCCAAGAGAAGGCCCCTAGCTCCATTTTCTCGTGATTCTGGTGTTTTGTTCCGTTTTTGCGTTCTGTTTTCCATTATGTTTCTATGAGTTTGGCAATCTCAGTTACGGCCGAGTACAGGTGGTGTGAAACACCATACGTTTTTGCCGTTCTTCCAGTTCAATAATTAAACAATGACTTGAAGATGACGCTCATTAAAAATCTTGAGGTGACCTTTTTCTGCTACGACTTGTCGACAGTGTTTCAGCTGCTTGTTTATTTGTTTTTAGTGATAGCTTGCCAGGCTGCCATACTTTTTGACTTTGACTCACAATTTTTCAATATCCGTGGCGCCTCACTGCCGTCGAGCCAGCCATATCATACGATTTTTGGGCTCTCCCTCGTGTTTAATTTTTTGCTGATTTGACTGGAACTTCTGTTCTTCCGTTGTGAAGTTTTCCTGTTCAAACCCAACTACTCTAACGTTGAGTAAAGCCATGTCACAACATTGGAACAGTCAACAGTGGAAAAGCTGGGAAAATCATCCTGGCAGTCCCAAGACGATTGATCATGGACTCCAACTATCCCTACTCACTGGCAACAGACTTCGACCCATTATGATGAAACGGTGCTTCATGGATACTCCATGTACCGCACCATCCAACCGACAGCATGGAGTAGAAAGAGAGGTCTACATGGCATGGACCCACTCCAAGTTCCTATGGCAGCGTTATGTCGACATGGAGCACAAGAATTCAGTCTACGTCCCTTTAGCACCGGAAGTCATCGGCATTGTCACGACCAGAACGGTTGCAGAATCCGTATTTTGCTCTCAATTGCTGAATTCGCATGCGAGACAGCGGATTTGATGTGGATGCAATAGCAGAGCACTTGCATCGCACTCAAGCTCCCACGCAACCGATTCCTTCGAAACATGATCAACCTGTTGAATTTATCAATCCTGTGGTTGTTGATGTTGTTTCCAAACTGAAGTGTTGCAACCTCAAAAAGTTGAAGGATCTGCGGTTCGCAGGTTGCAACAAGTTGAACAGGAATTGCGTGAAGCCAAACGTCAGTTATCTGCCATTGGCAAAGGAGAAAAACCCGCTCCAGCCTCGGTGTCGGCTTCCGTATCAAACAAACGCCCTCCGTCGGAACTGCTTGGGAGCTCCCCGAAGAAGAGAGCCCGCCCGAAACAGAAAGCGATTTCGGCGGCTCCTTCGGGCAATTTAAAATCTTTGTGGGCACAAAAACATCAGGATTCATTCCGAGCCATGAACGATCCGTCCGATCAAATCGAACTTTGCTCTGATGATATTCCAGAGAAAGAACAAGAAAAAGGTGACGAAGTCATCACAGCAGAGGAATGTCTCCGCCCACGATCCCCAGTGCTCCAAGACAATGCTCCCACTGGTCATTCAGACACCACCATTTCAAAGTGGGCCAAGAGCTTCCCAGCTGAAACGCGGGAAGCAGCTGTGAAACTATAATTCAAGTGATTCGTGATGCTGATCTTCCAAAGAACAGCTTGCAAGAAGCATGCATCAAGTATGGTATCGGTATGGAATTGACTTTTAAGTTAGCACCTCGCAGCATGCACCAAGTCATTGGAATAGGTGCAGCGTTTGAAACTTTTTGAAGTCCTGGCAAACCTCCAAAAAGCGTTGACCTTTTGTATTCACCGTATACCTCATGTGGGCTTTGAGCTTGATTCATGCTTTGTTGCTTTCACGTTTCTCAGCCCCAACGATCGAGTCTCGTAAGTGGCGCAACAGATTGAATTTTCTGAATGTGAACCCTGAGACTTATACCTATCCATTTTTTCAATGTGCAGTTTACGTCAAACTGCCATTTCATCCGATAGATCCATCTCATCCGGTGTACAGACAGCATGGCCATTTCTATGTCGGCTCCACTGGCATTTCAGCCAGCAAACGAGATTTCAACCGAGCGGCCAAGTTGAAACAACTTGAGATTGGTCAAGCTGTACATGTCGAGCTATCCATTAGGTACTGGTTTTCCAACAACAATTTTCCTCTTTTGAATTTAATTGTGTTGGAACCGCATAGTACCTATGAGCAAGCGTGGGTTCGTGAACATTGTTTGATCAGCCATTGGCAACCCATGCTTTTATTTCAAAGGTCTTGAGGTTAAAATCGGAGGGTTGGAAAATGCAGTTTAAAGCCAACCGCTCACCACCGATCAAATTGGGACCTCGCCTTTTTCAGCGCTTGCGAAGACGTCTTCGCACTGTAGGCAGTGCTCCCAGTGAACACTCCAACCAAAACAAAGCCTGGCATATATTGTATCTTTTAAGTCTTCATACTCGAAGCATACCCATTCGAATTAGGGGGGAGACCGTCGCACCCGGCTTCTTGTAAGATAATTCCAGGGGGCTTCCAAAAAACCCTATAAAAATAGTTGGTTTTTGGGGAGTTTGGCCCTTACAAAAAGCATAGGTTTTTAGCACCCACATTCGACTTCAAACACCTATACCATTTTATAAGGCGACGACTTTCTTCATGATATGAAAGTTGTATCCTACCCGATGTCCTTTTTATAAGAAGTTGTGATTTTAGATAGCGTTTTCGGGCATCATTTTGTAAGGAAACAACTTCTGGTTCCCTGTTTCTGGTTTTCCCGGTCTCGTTGATTTTCAAGCAGCCTTTTTGTAAGGATTCCATTTGTTTTATGGTTCTCTGGTGTGGTGCATGTAGTGTCATCTTCCAGCGATGGCAAATCTGGTGCACTCCCAACACCAGAAAGCCAACTCACCAAAAGAACCACAACAAGCCACGCCATTTGGATGTGTCAGGGCTGTGGGCTGGGACCTTTTCGGAAATAGCCAAAACAGCTATCAAATGATTGAGGCGAATCAAAAACATGTACAAATCTGAACAATACTTTGTATCAATGCCTAAAAGCATATATTCTTACAAAAAGGTTCTTCTACTCTTGACGACATCTCCTTACAAAATGTCATGGCACACCCTGCTGAGTTCTTTTTTGTTTTTTTGATATTCAATAACAGCATCTTGAGCTTACAAAAGCCTCAAAAAGACAAACTCGATGGTCTTATAAAATGACTTGGCACCTCAAAACTCTTACAAAATGAACACTTGAAAATCTACAACTTTGCCTTTTGGGTGCCCTGTTACAAAGTGCCCTGGTTAGGGGGATCATTGTAACTACAAAATGCCTATATATAAACCATTTATAGTGGGGTCGACCCCTTCCATACCGTAAGGGAAATTCGAACAGGGATCTCGAAGCAGTTATGAGACTTGCCAGCGGATCCGATCCGGTGAATTACACAATGTGGAGGTGCACGCATTGTACAGGTTATCCGTTCACATGGAAGGGCCCGGCCGATCCCGTGTTCGTGGACTGATTTCAAAAGCGTTACAATTTCGAAACGCTACAGTCCCCAAAATGAATGTTCCTTTGACTATCCTGTTTTTGGCACATGATGATTTTAAACGAAATGTTGAACGCTGGTTGAGAAAAACTGTTGTTGATTTCAAATCTTTCGCAATTCCGCTTTTTCTTCCAACACGACATTTGAGAGAAGCTGCTTTACCCGAAGATTCGAGAATGTCTACACAAACATCGGAAAGCAGAAACTTGGTGGACACCATGGGATCCTGCTACAATACCCTGCTGTTGTGCACGGTTGCAGACCCACAGCCTTTGTCCGGATGACAGCAGTGATCATCTTGCAGTGAATTTGGAAGATTTGTCCCTGCCGCCAGATCCTTGCCTTTTTTCAGATGTCAATGCCAACTCTACCTATTACTGGTCTAAAACACCGTACCTTCAGCTGGCGACCAATAGGTTTCGAACCTGGCTGAAACAAGACATTTTGGAGCAACATTTTTGACAACCAATCCGACATTTTTTGACACAAGAATGGAAGCAACATTTGGATTACGTAGATCATTACCCTCGTTTGACTTTTCATGCAGTCCAACGACTGCTTAGATGGCTTCCATATGATTGTGTTCTTCATCATGGAGATCATGAACAATATCGCATTACTGTTTTTTGTCCTCGCTTGTATTTTCAAGGAGCTTTGAATAATGTCCACATGGCGTTAATAAACCCCCCCACAATAAAGTACGCCAACTCCCGGGAAAAATTAATAACCCCCCCCCCCGTAATAAAGTACGCCACCTTGTTTTCCCGTTTTTTCCGTTTTTTTCCCTTTAGTATTCGTTTTCAATCAGGCAATTCATTTGTGAATGCTAAAGTTTTTTTTCCGTTTTTTTTTCCGTTTTTTTCCCTGTATGTATTCGTTTTCAATTAGGCAATTCATCTGTGAATACTAAAGTTGTTTTTCCGTTTTTTTTCTCCGTTTTTTCCCTTCGTTTTCAATTAGGCAATTCATTTGTGAATACTACAGTTGCTTTTTCCGTTTTTCCCCCCTTTTATGTATTCGTTTTCAATTAGGCAATTCATTTGTGAATGCTAAAGTTTTTTCCGTTTTTTTTCTCCGGTTTTTTTCCCTTTATGTATTCGTTTTCAATTAGGCAATTCATTTGTGAATACTTGTTTTTCCGTTTTTTTCCCTCAAACGGTCGATTTCCTTACTAAACCCTCTCGAAAAATGCAACTAGACGACGGATGGCCCGAGAGCGTAGAGGAGCAGGGTCTTCTCTTGCTAGTATGGAGACACCATATTACAAAACAATATATTAAAGATGTGTTGTAGGCAGTCGAGAAGAGGAGTATCAAGACAATATAGGATAAGTACACGACCATAGTTTGCATCGCAAACACCTTTACACACAGAAGCTTTTACACAGAGCAAGCTTTTACACAGAGAGCCCCTTACACAGAGAAGCTTTTACAGGCAGGCGCTTTTACACAGAGGCACTTTTACACAGAGACGCTTTTACACACAAGGCACTTTTACACACAGACACTTTTACGCACAGACACTTTTACACACAGGCGCTTTTACAGGCAGGCGCTTTTACACAGAGACACTTTTACACAGACGCTTTTACACACGGACCCTTTTACACACAGACGCTTTTACACACAGACGCTTTTACACACAGACACTTTTACACACAGACACTTTTGCGCACAAACGCTTTTACGCACAGACGCTTTTACACACAGGCGCTTTTACACGCAGACGCTTCTACACACATACGCTTTACACATAGGCGCTTTTACACACAAGCGCTTTTACACACAGACGCTTTTACACACAGACACTTTTACACGCAGACGGTTTTACACACAGACACTTTTACACACAGAAGCTTTTACACGCAGACGCTTTTACACACAGAAGCTTTCACACACAGAGACTTTTACACACAGGCGCTTTTACACAGGCAGTTTTACACACAGAAGCTTTTACACACAGAGGCTTTTACACACAGAAGATTGTGCACACAGAAGCTTTACACAGACGCTTTTTACACAAACGCTTTTACACACAGACGCTTTTACACACAGACACCTTTACACACAGAAACTTTTACACACAACCGCTTTGACACACAGACGCTTTGACACAGAGCACACAAAAGCTTTTAAGCAGACGCTTTTACACAAACGCTTTTACACAGATGCTTTTTACACACAGAAGCTTTCACACACAGCACACAGAAGCTTTGTACACACAGAAAAAATTGCAATTTTACCTCAGTTTGTGGCGATCGACCATCATTTCGTGCGAAAGGGTTGCGCCGGACACCTTCAAATCGCAATTTTACTTCAGTTTTTGGCGATCGAACCTCGTTTCGTGCGAAAGGGTTACGCGGGACAAGTTGAAATCGCAATTTTACCTGCGTTTCGTGCCGTCTCGTTGGCACTGCCCCTGCCCCCGCCTTCAGAAGAGAAATAAAAAAGAAGGAGAGGGCAAGAGGGCAAGAGGGCAAGAGGGCAAGAGGGCAAGAACAGAAGATGTGAAGATGTGAGGATGTGAAGATGTGAAGATAAGAAGATATGAAGATGAGAAGATGTGAAGATGTGAAGATGTGAAGATGTGAAGGTGTGAAGATGTCAAGATGTGAAGATGAGAAGATGTGAAGATGTGAAGATGTGAAGATGAGAAGATGTGAAGATGAGAAGATGTGAAGATGAGAAGATGTGAAGATGAGAAGATGTGAAGATGAGCAGATTTGAAAATGTGAAGATGTGAAGATGAGCAGATGTGAAGATGAGCAGATGTGAAGATGAGCAGATGTGAAGATGAGCAGGTGTGAAAATGTGAAGATGAGCAGATGTGAAGTTGTGAAGATGAGCAGATGTGAAGATGAGCAGATGTGAAGATGAGCAGATGTGAAGATGAGCAGATGTGAAGATGAGAAGTTGTGAAGATGAGCAGATGGGAAGATGAGCAGATGTGAAGATGAGAAGATGTGAAGATGAGAAGATGAGAGACAGACCCCCACTATTGGAAGAACCCTGCGCTCAGACGCTCTCGGGAAAAAACAATCGTGCAAAGGGGGTGGCCCTGGAGACCCCTGACATCAAAATAATAATGTATGTTTACACACCCCTAAATAAAGTATTTGGATTTCACAGGTCTAATCAAATTTTTGGTGGTTGAAACTGTTTCTCAGTTCCTTTCCTATTTGAACCCTCTCTCAAACCCTTTCTGAAGCCCTCAAGACTCTTTGAGCTGGAAGCAGTACACTCCAAACTCCAAATCTTGCCGGAAAAGTTCTGGAGTTGAAAAAACAACAAGGCTCAAATGGTCGATTTCCTTACTAAAACCCTCTCGAAAAATGCAAAAAAACAATCGTGCAAAGGGGGTGACCCTGAAGACCACAGACATCAAAATAATAATGTATGTTTGCACACCCCTAAATAAAGTATTTGGATTTCAGGGTTCTAATAAAACTTTTGATGGTTGAATACTAAAGTTCGAAGAAAGTTCACTTTATGTATTCGTTTTCAATTAGGCAATTCATGGCAATTCATTTGTGAATACTAAAGTTCCAAGAAAGTTCAATTTATGTATTTGTTTTCAATTAGGCAATTCATTTGTGAATACTAAAGTTCCAAGAAAGTTCACTTTATGTATTCGTTTTCAATTAGGCAAGTCATTTGTGAATACTAAAGTTCCAAGAAAGTTCAATTTATGTATTCGTTTTCAATTAGGCAAGTCATTTGTGAATACTAAGTTCCAAGAAAGTTTACCGTATGTATTCGTTTTCAATTAGGCAATTCATGGCAATTCATTTGTGAATACTAAAGTTCCAAGAAAGTTCAATTTATGTATTCGTTTTCAATTAGGCAATTCATTTGTGAATACTAAAGTTCCAAGAAAGTTCACTTTATGTATTCGTTTTCAATTAGGCAATTCATTTGTGAATACTAAAGTTCCAAGAAAGTTCACTTTATGTATTCGTTTTCAATTAGGCAATTCATTTGTGAATACTAAAGTTCCAAGAAAGTTCACTTTATGTATTCGTTTTCAATTAGGCAATTCATTTGTGAATACTAAAGTTCCAAGAAAGTTCACTTTATGTATTCGTTTTCAATTAGGCAATTCATTTGTGAATACTAAAGTTCCAAGAAAGTTCACTTTATGTATTCGTTTTCAATTAGGCAATTCATTTGTGAATACTAAAGTTCCAAGAAAGTTCATTTATGTATTCGTTTTCAATTAGGCAATTCATTTGTGAATACTAAAGTTCCAAGAAAGTTCAGTTTATGTATTCGTTTTCAATTAGGCAATTCATTTGTGAATACTAAAGTTCCAAGAAAGTTCACTTTATGTATTCGTTTTCAATTAGGCAATTCATTTGTGAATACTAAAGTTTCAAGAAAGTTCACTGTATGTATTCGTTTTCAATTAGGCAATTCATTTGGGAATACATTGGTGGTTTTTTTTGTTTTTGGAAAGTTCCCTTTATGTAATCGTTTTCAATTATATAGGCAATTCATTTGGGAATACATTGGTGTTTTTTTTTGGAAAGTTCCTTTTATGTAATCGTTTTCAATTAGGCAATTCATTTGGGAATACATACGTGTTTTTTTTTGGGGGGAAAGTTCCCTTATGTATTCGTTTTCAATTAGGCAATTCATTTGGGAATACATAGGTGATTTTTTTTTGGGAAAGTTCCCTTATGTATTCGTTTTCAATTAGGCAATTCATTTGGAATACATAGGTGATTTTTTTTTTGGGAAAGTTCCCGTATGTATTCGTTTTCAATTAGGCAATTCATTTGTGAATACTAAAGTTCCAAGAAAGTTCACTTTATGCATTCGTTTTCAATTAGGCAATTCATTTGTGAATACTAAAGTTCCAAGAAAGTTCACTTTATGTATTCGTTTTCAATTAGGCAATTCATTTGTGAATACTAAAGTTCCAAGAAAGTTCACTTTATGTATTCGTTTTCAATTAGGCAATTCATTTGTGAATACTAAAGTTCCAAGAAAGTTCACTTTATGTATTCGTTTTCAATTCGGCAATTCATTGGTGAATACTAAAGTTCCAAGAAAGTTCACTTTATGTATTCGTTTTCAATTA